TTATTTTCTCATAAAATAATTCTGGAAATTTCAAGTTTTATAAATAATCTNGCCGCAAATAATAAGGTCATTTCATAGCAGAAAAACACATTAATTTAAAAAAAAATTGCTTTTCATCTCATCTAATTTTATATATAAATATAATAGATTTTATAATAGATGTGAACAAACTCACTCCTTACGTGTTTTTGTTATGGTGTGTAGTTGTATTATAAATATTTTAAAGAAAATTTTTACATATTTAAATAAATATAAGAATGTAATTTCGATTTATTTTATAGCTTTGTTTCTGTAAAAATTAAATAAATATATACTTATTAGTAAAATTTTTTATATAATTGAGCTATAATTTTCATCGCAGACTTGTAAATTCCTATCGTTGTCTGTCTGTTTTTCTATTGTTATTCCAAGAAACATCTATCTAAATAGATAAAAATCCAAACCAGATATAGAAAGCCAGACACAGACCGGAAGTTTTTATATAGTTAATTCATGTCTCCGATTCCTAGGCTTCTTATATATGCTCTCGATTTCCATCTATTCAATTCTTTTCCCCATATTACCGAAGGGCAGTCAGACGATAGTGAAAATGTATAGGTCTGCAATTAGATAATTGCAGCCCAATTATACAAATTGCGACGAAATTCAACAGTAACTTATCAGTGAATTCATTCGAATAATACAGTAATATATTTAGAACTTTAGTTATATTCGTAATAGTTATTATTTAAACTAATAACACGCGGTCCAATGTAATTAGATATCTCTATTTACCGTGACATTACTCCAAAATATTTTTAGAGGGAATGCTCGAAATCAAAATCGAACGTACATTTTTGCGTAATTAAATTAGATCATACGCGAATATTAACGTAGAACAACAGTACAATTAATTTCTAGTAACAAATTATGAATTAGAAGAATTGAAAAAAATAATAAAATATGAAACAAGTAAAAAAAATTGCTGCAAGTTTTAATCGTGTTTCTAAATTTAAAATATATGCTCTCCATTTCAAAGTAGTACTGTAGTGTCTTGCCCTGTACTTTTCCTTTAATAATAGAGTCGTGCCGGTTGCTGTTAGGCACAGAAGAAACGATCCTTGTATCTGACGGACGAGGACACATGCCTCCACCAAAGAGGCTATCCTGGTGCCTGAAGGCCACGGGCGACACGACCCTTGCACAGACCAGGTACGGAGAGGAGATTCAATAACAAAGAAATCGCCATTGTTTGCTTTGTTCTTATGTCTTATTCGTTTTATTCGACTATTTTCCGTTCGGCGCGCGCGATACTGTTTTTATTTTTGACTCATAGACGTAAATTTTGTTAGGTGTTCTCAGTCGAATTAGAGAACGTAGAAATTTTATCAAAATTGACCCATTAAATTTTAAGAACGACAAAGTCGCGCGATTCGTGCGATATCGCTTTGTCGCGCTCGCTCGTGAAACGACCTTATATCTCGAAATCCCAATTTTTTATTGCATTTTTGGATTCGCCGACTTAATTAATGGAAAATGGCAAAGTTTAATCGAAATCGACCCGAAAGATTTTGAAAACGAGCACAATTCTCAAGTCCCATAGAAGAAGCTTCGCTAACGCTCCCCCCTTAATAAAGATTGGATTATTCAATAGAATAGCTTAAGGCGTAGATAAAGATGTAGTGTTTTATATAATAGAATGCTAACATAAGATTTAAAATATATATTGTATTACGATAGGGTAATTGCATAATGTCAAGAGTAAAAAAAAAGGAAATCGATGCGACATACAACAATGTTTATTGGTTCAAATGTCCTGAATTGTCTACTATCCTGATTATATAAGTAGATCAACTACAAAGTTGTCTGTTAAGATGTCTGGCAGACAGATATGGTAGTTAAGTGCGTAGGTAGATATAACATACACGTGTTGTCGAAAATATAAATCACAATGACTTATGATATCCACAAGGACATAATCTATATACAAAAATGCTTTCGTTATATCTTTTAAAAATACTGAAACCGGTTAATACTCGATTTATCTTTATAAAAATTAAATAAGTTATGTAATGCAACACCTCATTTGCATATAATATTTAAATTTTGGGGATTTTTAAAGGCATTTTTTAAAGAGATTTTAAAGGGATATCCTTGTTAAATTGTAAAATTAGTTTGAAAACATTTTTTTTAAAGATAAATTATGTTTTTATGCTTTTTTAAATGCTTTAAATTTGAAAATATGAGGTTCTTTTTATTGTCTATTAACAATACATTTATTATGTGGAATTTATGAAATTATCGATAACCTATTATTGAGTCGATATATCTGGTTAAAAAAAAACAATAATAAATAAATCTGAGTGAATTTTGTCACGCGAAATCGGACTAAATCGATAGGAGCTGAAAAAATGATGAAGAGAGTTTATTTTTGATTTTTCATCACAACAAACTATCACGAATTATTAAAAATTATTTTATAAATTTAATCTACAAGCATAAATATATGCATATTGCGAAATGTAATTATTATAAAGTATAAGTAGGTGAAGATAACGGAATTTATAGCTAATCTCCCTAACAGAAAATGAAAATATATATTAAAATATTCGAAATTTAGCTAGAAAATTGAAAAAAGCCATTAACTTGATTTTTATATTTTTCCTTATTTTAAGATATTCTAACATTATTATTACATTAAAAGTGCATTCAGGTTCTGCTTCCCACATTAGTCTATTCTTTCGCATGTCGAACATCATTGACCCATCTTATGTGCCGATTTTCTATTATCTCTGTATAACGTAACTCGTGTATTTTCCTTTTATCTAGATCTATATTTGTTTAGTTTCATTTATCTAGCTCTTAATTTAGAAATAAAATAAACGTATAAGGAGAAGAGCTACGATTAAAATCATAAAATAGAAATTTATACAACCCGCATTGGCCTAAAAATCTCATCAAAATGAATTTAAATCCAAGTTGTTCCGTATTTTTAGATAAAAGAAAAAAAAAAATGTTTTTAAATTATTCTACTTTAACTCTAGAATTATATAAACAGGAAGAATTTCCTAATTTCTCTCTCTTTCTTCATCCATTAGGACTATATAAAAGTTTCGTCCTAAACTAGAAAGTAGGTTATTTGACTAAAAATATATGCACATTTTGAAAATTTTGCTTTCAGAATAGAAATTTTTAATTTTCTTTAAACTTTCTTTTGTCAATTTTCTGTTAGAAGAAAGAAAGAAAAGGGTTCAAGGAACTAGAATCTAATTGCAAACATCTCTAGAGAAAAACGATGTTTATTCCAATGGCAATAGCTCCATAATAACCGGAAAACCGGAAAATAATGGTTTCTTGTACGTAATAGAACTCATAAGCTACCGTGTGACTTGTAATAAGAAAGCCTAAGAGTGCAGGTCAAACACGTGGAAAGAGTTTACTATGAGGATGTTCTAATTTTGGCTAGATCCTTCATAAAAATCTTCCAATTGAAAATAACATGAAAGAGATACTAGATAAGTGGTTATGCTGACAAAAATATATAGCTATAAAGGGGTAAGAACTGTTTCTTTTATGGCACTCTATATAAGGTAAGTTCGAAACAATCTCCTCTTTCTAACGATATTAATTTTGCTTTCGTGCTACATGTACGAACAGGAAAAATTTCAAACAAATTACATAATTCCTATTGAAAAATGATTAAGTTAAGATTTAAAATATAAATATATTTCTATTTGACATTTTATCGTGATTTTCTTAAAACAATTCTATTTTAAAATAGATTTATCATGTGTTTTATTACTATTTTCCCTGTTAAAAAAGTCGAAAAACTACAATTTCGACTTTAGAAACAAGCTTTTGAATTATTAAATCAGAAAATAAAATTATCAATTTAAAACATAAATATATTTAAAAATTTATCAGCATTTTCTCTTCTTTCTTTTAATATACTAAAATATACATTTTCAAGTTTTTAAAATCTAAATAAATAATTAAAAACAAGAAAAAAAAATATATAGAAAATGATATCATGTTTATTTTTATCTGTTCTCTTGGACTACCAGACATAAGCTATTGTTTTTGATATGCCAATTTCCATTTATTACTTATCGAGTCATTAATATAATGTGAATAAGTAGGTTCCAGGAAAAATTATTACACAATTAAATGTATAGATTCCCGAGAAAAATCAAACAATAGAGAAGACGTGATAAACATCATGCAATCAACAAATTACCCNACAAGACAACTGCCGCCATGTTTAGTCCTCGTTACCAGTTTAATTAAAAATATATATTTTTTAATTTATGCACTATTTCCGAAAATATTACAAAATTGAACGGTTTCTGATATACAATATATTATTTAATATTTAATAAATAGTGAAAAAGAAAAAAAAAAGTTCATTGGACTAACGATGGCGAATCGATACCTCAACGAATGCGTTACTTATATATATATTTCTAGTGATATTAATGGGAAACAAGCGCCATCTTATAGTGATAATAAGAATTAATTTTACTATTTTTAAAGGTGAATTATTTATGTATTTACAAGCCAATTACCTTTAAAATAGGAGCCAATACCTTTAAAAAGACCTCCCTGAAGACAGATTGCCCATGTATTGCACTGCCTTATCCTAATAATCTTACAATACGAATATCGTGGTAAGCCGAATGCCAATTCGCACGGGTCCTTTCAAATCGAATCTAATCAATTTAAAGTAATAAATCACGTTTGAATGACCCGATACAACGTATAAAATAACGAACGTTAAAACCGTTAACAAATCTAATGACGTAACAATAGATCTGTTTTTAAAAAACGTCACGGCCTTTGTACATCTGTATTTCATGTGTCATTTGAATGATATTATTCAATCAAATTATGCTTGCATCTAATTACTTATAAAATATAAATAATATATTATTATTATATTTAAATGGAATTTATTATATTTTATTAAGGATCTTAAATTACACAGGATGTTATGAATTTATTTATTAATTTTTTTTTGACAGCTGTAATATACGCTATATAAGTGAATGAAACTCGTGATTTCTATTGTTAGTAAGACTGCAAACAAGGATTTATGCTGGAAAAAATGAAGTTTTTAAGAAATTTAGTGTTGATTCTAGTCATTTTCGTTGTAAAGAATGGTAAGTACAGAGTATAATTAAGTTTTAATTAATGATTTTTTTAAATATTAATTAATTGTTAAGATGAGGCCGAGCAGTTAAGGTCTAAGTCTACCGCTTTGGGGGATTAAGACGGGTGAAAAAATCCCTAGAAATTGTTCGGGGTGATCCGTTTAGATGTATCAGTCTCGTCTCTCACCATTTAGCTGTCCATTGTAAGCCTGGAAAACCCATAATGGGATTGCTAAAAAAGGCTTTCTTAATACCTTTATAGGGAGGAAAAAGTTTAAAAAAATCGTTAAAAAAAAAAGATCTAAAACTTGCTGATTGCGTACGACAGCATGTCATTATCATTGTTATTTGTATATTATTTAGCATTTTATACATAAATAGGCTCATATTTTGTTTTCAAGACTTTAAACGAGAGATAGATTAGTTTACAGTAAAATTTACTCACAGAGTTTATATTAATTATTAAAACTGTACGCTACAATTAGATTACATATAAATCATTCCCCTAATCCTTATAAGTGGTCCAGAGGATAAAAACCATTAGAGGAAAATTACATAATTAGTTATTTACTGTAATTTCTTGCGTATAACTTCTGAAATTGAACTCGATACATAGATAATTCGCTGGTTATTAGAAGAAAAATCGGCAGGTGAATAATTTTCTAGTAGGTATACGATTGTTAATACATCATTTTTTTTATTTATATTTAATTATTTTCTTCTTATTCTTTCTTCTAGAAGCTGCAGATCATAGAATACGTGCATGCAGATACGATTTGTATAATAGAATAGTGACAGCATGCAAAGAGAAACTTGAAAAATGGGGTTGTAAGTTCATTTATCTTTCCTCTATGATATTATAAATAAATTTTCGATTAATTTATTGAATTTTTAACGTAATATTACAGACAGTTCCTATCGTCTATATAACTTTGCAATCTTTCGTGGAGAAATTGGAAGAAAATTACACGATAGATGCTGTTGGACCAGATGCTTTTATGTAAATTTAAAAGAAGATGCCGTGTGTAAACTTCTCATACCTTCTTCTTCAGTTAAATAATAAAAGTCACGAATAATTAAAATTAAACTGTAAATTAATTTACATAATAAAAATATACCAAACGGTGCATTATATTGTAAATATTTCAGTTATTTCGGTTTAATTTCGATCTTATTTATATACTAGCAAAAGTCGAATGAATAAAACCATTCAAAATTGTTATAATTTAACTTTATACGGCAAGTTCTCGAATGATATTTGTGTAATTTGATGTGATTGAAGTTCACATAAATCATATTTACAATGTGAATTTATGAACGACGAAGATTCGTTTCGAGAGGAGGAAAAAAGAACAATGGTTTTACAGAATTCGTGTAAATTTCTCTTCATTTTATCGGTTTTATCCCTTCTCGCTTTTATTTGTTTTATCGCAGACAAGGTAAGAATATATTTAAGTAACGTATAAATTTCTAAGAATATTTATAATCAGTTATATGTAACGTAATGTTACCGATACTTTCTCGTTTGTTACAATTAATTAATTAAGTGGTAGTAGAACTTGATTGAGCGTTTAGAGTATATTCGAAATACAGTAGACTGTCGTTAATTCGAACTCAGAGGGGCAGCCTAAACAGTTTGGATTAAAAGGAGACCATTTTTGGATACTGCAGAAGAAAAATGGGTGAACTGAACAAGACACTTGGCAAGCAGATTAATGCTTAAGCAATGAGAGATACAAAACAAAGATATAGTAGTGAAATTCAATGGAATAAACGAACAAAATCACGACGAGCAAGCGCGCCACAGGGCCACAGTAAACGTGCCAACTGATTTAAAATGTTTTTAAATTGTAATTTATTTATTGTATTTTTTAGAAATTAATTTATTAAGTTTAAATTTGATCATTAGATTTCAAAAGTAGGAAGAAGATGTTAATCTACTAACACGCGCTCTTAATTCTAATAAAGAGGATTGAACACAGTCGAGTTCGAATTAACGAGTGAATTTTACATCGATTTAAATAGGAGTAACACGAGGACTAACGTCAAGTTAGAATTAGAAGGAAATTCGAATTACCCGAGTTCGAATTAACGACAGAATTAGCGCCAATCGGTGGTATTAAACCCATCGAACACCGCGGGTTCGCTCCTGACCTATGGATTGGTAGCGTGCTGTCTTTTCGGGTTTTCTTTAGTGTCTAACGCCTAAATTCGCTTGTGCCAACGATAGATCTGGCATCTAGCGGTATTAGCGCGAACTACGTAATAGTGGCTGCTATGGGTATAAAGTCTGTGATCTATTAGAATTAAAAAGTGTTCAACCTACGATGGTAAATAATAAGTATTACTGTGAATTTGGATGTAAGTCTAACGGTTCATCGAACTCAGTACATATGCGCACATTCCCAAAAAAATAAATTACTGCGAAAAAAGTGGGAAATAAAACTGAAGTTATCACTTCAGTTATCACGGTGCACTCTCCATCCATTGCGTTTGAGATGGAAAAGGTGGAAATTTATAAAAGTAAAATAAAAAGGGATGCTAATGCGCTTCCAACAGTATGGAAATATATAATAGAAAAAAGAATGGAACTTAAAAANAATCTGGCCCCTGTTTACGTCTTACAAATCTTAAGCAAACCCCTGAAACCTCCGCTTGCCTAGAGTGTTGGCAAGAGACGAACCGAACTCCAACTTGAACCAAGATAATGGGTTCTGGCCTGGAGAAAGAGATTGCCACGTGGAGTTTTCCGGGTTTTCTTCCCTCGTGTAACACCTAAATAGGGGCCAATTTGTTGCAGAAAGTTTTTCCGGGAGGCATCCCACATGGAAAATCGCTCTCGTGTTGGTTGCCACATTCCATGAAACCACAAAAACCTTAATATTTTTAATTAAATATACCCAGTCTGTAATTTACTTAAAATTTACTTAGAATTTCTTACCATGCGCTACAACAATAATACTACAGATCAGCAGAAATGCCAATACTCTTGAATTTACCATATTTGATGTTATTCCTAATATGGTCCTACACCATTAATGTGCTTCCAAGTGAAGGCTGTGGAAGCATATATATATATATATATATATATATACAATGAAATATGACATGGAATATTTATGGTCAACCATCTTTAATTACTTTAAATAATAAAACATTTCTCTGAAATAGTCGTAGATAATATGAAAATTATATAAATTTTAATCACTGTACAAAGGAGAAACAAAATATATATTTTTATACGTGACATATATCATTAATTATTACTGAAATTCAAGAATTACTATGTAAAATTTATCCAATTTATTAAATTTTATTAATTTATAATCTCTATATTATCACACTATAAGTTATGTGCATTGATGTAGAAAAACAATACAATTCAACCAAGATTTAACTGTAAAGGATACTAGAATTCATCACTATTGAGGTTCGAGTGTGAACGTTAGTTGTATTTCAGACTATTGAGGTCGAAGTGTAAAGACTTTTCGTATTATACACAACTTAGATTTGCGTTAAACAAAGCAATAGTTATTCATATTAATCTTCTATCGTGTTAATTAATAGATATATTGACCACCAACAATCAAAATCTCTATGATAGAATTGATAATGTCTTCGGGTAATATAAACATCATTTAATGTATATTTAATAAATAAACAAGAAATTTAAAATATAATTATATATATATTTTAAAACACAGTTTTATAAATTTTCTACTTTTCCATGGAGGATTACGTAAAAATAATCTTAAAACTGAAATTTCCATTAAACGTACAGAGTATATAAGACACGTTAACTGTACCCTGTGATCAGAAGATATCAAGAATGGTTTAATAAAATGCAAGATTTTAATTTATTCATCGAAATTTATTTCGTCCCCTTAAAAAGTACCGTGTAATTCCCTCCAATTGAACTTATACCAACTTAATCACCCGTACTGATGCATTTTAAGAACGATTCACTTCGACGAAACATTTTCTTGTCCACTCGGACACGTTGTTGTCTTCAGAAAAAATTCAACGTTTAATTAAGGGACGGATCGAAGCAAATCCAAACGATCTTTTAGAATTGATCGTCAAGATCCAAATGTCACTGCAACACGTCAACCAATTTTCCTAATTATTTAATGACAATCAACGTGCACCGAATCGCTGACTAAAACTGAATCATCTCGTTCATCAGTCGAGATGGATGATCTACCAAAGCACCTGTTCATCTTTCACGCGTTCTCTGCCTTCTTCAAACAACTCGTACCACTCAAAACCTCCCGTTTCTTATAGAAAATCGTTACCAAAGGCATTTTATAACATTTCCAACGTTTGTGTAGCAGTATTTATGATGCGAAAACAAGATTTAATTCACGTTCTTCGCTCGATTACACCGGACATTTAGCACAAATCAAGCATTTATTTACAAAGGTAAATAGACGACGACGTACGGATTGTTGCTAGACGTCTATGAAAGTCGTTTTTCGTGCTTTTTATTTATTTGTATAGAAACAGCGATCAGTTTGCTGTAAAAAAATCCTCCTTGGCACATTGCCTAAGTTTTGCGTTACCCCATCCCATTATACACGCATTTTACATTTTTGAATTTATCGTTGCTTACACTCTCTTATATAAATTTTAAATTGATTACAAAACTGGTATCAAAGAAAACTCGGCACTTCTTTTAAGACGTTTTATTATTTCTTAAGATTCTGTTTTTAGTTTTTTTTTTTATGGTGGGATACGGTAACGCAAGGACGGTCAGCAATGGAAAATGTCTCACGGGTGAAGTTTCAATATAAAACTAACCCATAATTCAAATGTGAGACACTTCAGAAAACTCAATGCGTTTACGTCCTTCGGCAGGTCAAAACCCATCGATGTTCAGACGTTTCATAAACTCGGAAACTAGTGGGTTGAGTTCTTTTTCAAATTAGCTTTATTAATGCATTTATAACACAGATTATACACAATTACATAACTCAATACAGATTATCAAGTTTTCTCTGAAACTATATTGAGAACTTCAATATTATGCGTATCAAGTGTATTATTTATCTTAGACATCTAAAGACTTGTGTATGGCGCACAAGCATCTAAAGCCTGAGTTGTCAGTATTTGAAACGCACCGCCCGTACCAATACTCCATTGAATCACAACTCATAACACAGGTTTCGTCTGTAAAATTTTCATCGCACGCACCAATATACTTCATATATAATTCATTATCGTCTTCACCTAAAAGGAACATAAAAGTAAAGTTAAAAATATTAATACAAATTTAATTAACACAATAATTATAAAGTTTATTGTGTTATAAGGGACAATCTGCTGAAAGAATGTCTCCCTGAAAAATCTTAGCTGAATCTGCCTCTTATTTAGCGAACACCGAAACCTCCGCGTGGCTAGACTTAGCGAGAGGCGAACCCAACACCAACTATAACTCTTCACTGGTTTTATCCACTCGGCTACAACACAAAATTGATAACGGGATCAAAAAATTACATCTTATTGAAATGTTCCATAATGAATTATATAATAAAATCATTTGTTAATGGTAACGAAATTAATTGAAAATTCATCTCAATGTCACACCGTTCATTCAATGTTCAATAATTTACGGGTGCATGAAACAATACAACCTTTTAAATCCTGTTATAACGAAAACTTAATTTCCTGGGCATTTTGTACACTACTTGCCACTTTTTGAATGTGGAAAATCCTACATGTCTATCAGTTGAATGAACCAAGATATAGGGCATTAAACTATAAAGATATTCTTTATCTTAGATTTCCATTGAACTATACTGTAGGTAATCACAAATGTCTTGAAATTTACTACGACTTATTTGTTTATATCCGTATACATAAGATAGTGATGCCATTGAATTTTTGAAAGGAAATGAAAAGTAATGCGAACATACAACACAGGTTGGGTCATACTACGAGTAGATAAAACTTAATGAGAACGTTACACTTATCGGTTATTAAAACAGTAATTTTGAACTTAAAATTATTATAGAACATCGTCTCCCTCTCTAAAAATTAATTTGACTCGTCACTCGCATATATCGAATCACGCCCGGTCGTTCACTATGTACTCGTACGGAACCTATGATGAGCATGAAAAAT